ACTGCCCTCCAGATACCACTGACTTGTGAGGGTCCCAGTAGACCACGGCTCGCTAAGAATTTTCTTAATCATCAATCACAGAACACAAATGCCACCATGTAGGGTTTTTGAAGGGACTCAGTTTTCAGAACGAGATCCTCTGGCTTTCCTTTCCAAGGTGCTTGTGGGTGACGTGGACTTCCGATCATTCACGTGGTGGTTAAATATTTCTCCTGTGAATGAATGATAATTTAGGACTCTGAATCATTCAAAGGCATGGTGCAGGAGGGGTTCTGTAGGAGCTTCTGGACCTCTACAGGGGTTTTCTAGTCATGCAGGTGACCAGAAAGAGGACACAGGCAAGCCTGATCTTACAGACAGGGGACAGAGGGAAGGGAGTAGGTTTAAGAGCCACAGGCCACTTACAACATTCCACAAAAAAGCACGTGATAGGGCTACCTGAGAAACACATCCAATAGCTGAAGCTTGAGAAGAATATACAAAACTCTGATTCCATAACTAACTGTGGACCTGGAAACTCCACTGAACCCCTAAAGGGCCCCAATCCCTTAGAATACACTTGATAGGAATGCATTTGGTTTTCATATGCAAACACTCAAATATTTTTCAATCCCTTTTAATTCACGTTTAGGTTTTCTTTCTTTGACTGAAAGCTTACAAACCACACTGGTTTTTGAGAAAATCATTCCTAAGTATTAGCTACCATTGACTGAAGCAATTAACTTTTATTCCTTTTAATTAATTTTACTAAAAGTTTACAGAGTCGTGGGTTTTCCAGTCCTTCATTGTTGCACTTTTCTCCTTGCCCAATCCCTCCCTCCAATCCACTCTTCTCCTTAAAAAGTAAAACTCTTTCATTGTTATGAAGCAATTAATTTTTAGCAAACTCTTATTACATCTTGCTATTCCCTTAACTATTCTTCCTTGTTAATTAAACATTCCCCCTCGTTTCCCCCACTCCACAGGTTATCTCTAGTATATATAAATTCCCTGATTTAAAAATAAGACAGTTATGATAGTTCCTGTATTATAATAAGAATAAATGAGAGTCAATCAGAATTGAATAAATGTTGGCACATTCTGTCAAGTAACAATTCACAATGTGGGTAGAAATGGTGATTTAACTGAGAGTCCTATTGATAACGAATTTCTTAGGATATTAACTTTTCCATAATTTCTGAGGATATTAACATTTCCATATGGTTGCGAGATAATACAATTTTGGGGTGTGAGGAATCAGAGATACCATCCTATACAATCAGTAGTGAATATATCAGATTCTTTCTCATCAGCCCAACACATGGTTTGGCTAATACTGCGTTTGGGGCGACAGCTAACACATTTCATGACTAATAGACAGACTTTGTTCACGTGTCTACCGCTACCATGTAAGAATGTAATCTATCAAAACACTTGCAATAGCAACAACGTCAAAATGCAACAAGTCTTACAGTATCAACAAACTTAAAACAATTATACAAAAGCAAAAATGGGTGAAAAGTGAATAATTTCCAAAAAACTTTGTTGTTTTTAGGTGCCATTGAGTCTCTTGCGACTCATAGCGACCCTATCTACAAGAGCTCTATACGCTCTTCTATCCTGTGCCAACCTAGCCATCTCAAATGCACTTATTCCCACCTCTCTGGTCACAGAATCGATCCATCTCATCAAAGGTCTTCCTCTCCTTCACTGCCCCTCCACTCTGCCAAACATGATGCCTCTTTCCAAGGACCAGTCCCTCCTTGCAACATGCCCAAAATATGTCAGACGAAGCTTCAGAATCCTTGACTCCAGGGAACATTCTGGCTTCACCCTCTCCAGATGCTCTGCTGGAGAGGGAGGAACAACCTCCTCCTGTACCAATTAGATCTGATTTGACTCTACACACAAAAAATGAAATAAAATAAAATTTAAAAAAAAAGAAAGAAAAACATGAAAACCACGTATAAATATGACTGCACAACATAGTTGCATAAAAGTGGCTAAATTTGAAAAAGGTCTCATTCAGTTAACAAGCAAAACAAATGAACCAAAAATGAGGGGAAATATTAAATGAAAAAATGCATAAAACAAATGGCTGAAGATTAGGGAAGTAGACGAATTGAGAATGGTCAAATATAGGTAAGAAAGTAGGTATTTCAAAGATTGTGCAGCCTTGTAAGGCTTTACTAACAAAGCAGTGAAGTCACTTTGTCAAGACACAATGTAATGAATTAATAGGAAAGTGATTACATCACCTTCTTAAAAGGAAAAATAAGAGGTCTATCTCATTTCAACAAAAAAATGCTAAAGACCTATGCTACTATCAACCTTTTCATACTATTCTAGAATCTTGCAAGAATGCAGCATGAATGAAGCTGACGGCTCCTTTACAACCTTGATTCATTTCTCTTCTCTTTCCATTTGGCTCTCTTTACCAACACTCTGTACCAATACTGAATCGTTGATAAGATGAATGTCTGTTTCTTTAACTCATCAAGGAGAAGAGTGAATTGGGGAGTGGGGGTGGGCAAGGAGAAAAGTGCAACAGTGAATAACCGGAAACCCTAATTCTCTATAAACTTTCACTGAAATTAATTATATATATATATATATACACACACACATGTATATGTATATATGCATATATATACACACACACAGACACAGACACACACAAACACACACACACATACATAAAGATGAACAGTCAGTGCCATCAGAAACTTGTGACAGTCACAGAGGAGACCATTTGGTAGGGAAAAACTTAATTTTCTCTCCAGCATGTAACACGGCCCAGATCAACCCTGAGTTTGTTATCTCAGTCCAGCCCTCAGCGCCTAAATGAACACTTTCAACAACCAGAACTGGTCACACTCTTTCTTTAGTCGTCAAAATGCCTACCTGACAATGAAACTGTTCATAAAAGAACTTGAAATACTTTTATCCGGTAGGTGAGATTTTAAACAGGGTTGAAAACACACCAGCTATTTCCAATCCAAGTGTCTTTTTTTTAAAAAATATATTTTATTATTTTTTGTGTGCGTGTACCGTCAAATCAGATCTGACTGGAACAGGAGGAGATTGTCCCTCCTTTTCCAGCAGAGCATCTGGTGGATTCGAACCGTGCGCCTCTGGGTTTGTAGTTGCAGCTCCTTGCCACTAGACCACCAGAGCTCCCCTCAATCCAAGTGTCTTAAGTCAACATCTGACTTCTATACAGAATCATCAAAGAAGGGTAGTTACATTTCTCGCCATCACCTTCACTTTTTAATTAAATTCTTTTAAAAAGTTTAAACTCACCTGATGAAGCACAGAGTGGGGGGAAACATAATAAAAAAATAGGATCTCTTAAAAGAGAACAGATGAAAACTACCATTTACACAATGAAACTTCGTAGCTGTCAGCACAAATAGAACCTGTCATTTCAGGAAGGCGCTGAATTTTGTAAAATGCTCCTGAAACTATCTCCTTTCCTTGACCACGCACTGACCACACCCCCAGGTGGCGCGGAGTGTGAAGCCCCAAGCACAGCGACCCTCTCTCCGTCCACCCACGGTCACTCCAGGTCTGGACACACGCAGCAGAGCGCTGAGCAGACTGGACACAGAGAGAGCAGAGTGTGTGTGGGAGCAGGACCTGCGGACTCAGGGGCTCAGCTCGGCGCCCAGGAGGCCCTAACGGAGGGGGGACGATGCCTTACCCCACTGACCACCAGCCTGATCCTCCACCCACACTCACCTCCCGACCCCCGGACACTGACCACCACCCTGGTCCTCTGAGCACACTCACCCCCTGACCCCCCGGGGACTGACCACCACCCTGATCCTCCGTCCACACTCACCTCCCGGGGACTGACCACCACCCTGGTCCTCCGCGCACACTCACCTCCCG